TACATAGATTTGAAAATTATGTTGGCATTAGTGGAAATTAGTATGGTTCAAATCATACTTATCTGACCGTTATCAGTTTGTAGCAGTAAACGAAGAGATGTCTTATCGATCACAAGTTCAGTATGGTGTACCACAAGGCTCAGTACTAGGACCGTTACTGTTCACTCTCTTTTCAGTCGAAAAGAAATTAAGGTTTTTGATGAAAACATCCAGGATTTTTCTCCATATAATGGACTTCAATGGAACCCAAACGGTTCAAGGTCCAAATGACAGTTTCAGTGCAGCTTTAAAGGGCTTTAAACGATACCAGACGATGAATAAGGGTCTTATCTAGCGAAACGATCGGTGGCGAGAGCAAGGCGAGCATTTGTGCTTATAAAACTTCAACTTTTTTATTTATTTTTGAAATGACCGATCGTTTCGCTAGATAAGACCCTTATTCATCGTCTGGTATCGTTTAAAGCTCTTTGAAGCTGCACTGAAACTGTCATTTGGACCTTGAACCGTTTGGGTCCTGTGGAAATCCATTATATGGAGAAAAATCCTGGAATGTTTTCATCAAAAACCTTAATTTATTTTCGACTGAAGAAAGACATGGACATCTTGGATGACATGGGGGTGAGTAAATTATCAGCAAAAGTTTTTTTAAAAGTGAACTAATCCTTTAACACACTCGCGGTCAAAACATGAGTTTAGTGTCATTTGTTTCTGAATGAAGATCTGCACTGAAATAATAGTGTTTAAGTTGATGTTCATCTTTTGTAGAAATGGATCAGTCTCTGGATGTTCCTCTCTCTGTAGAGGAGACCCGAGCAGAACCGGCCCAGAGTTCAGTGCGGCCATGTTCACTCACACACAAGGAAGAAGGCTTGTTTGAGATGCGCCTTGCCTCGCCTGAAGTGTAGTCGAGAGTAGGCGACTGCAGTGAGAGAAGGAGTGAAAAAAGCGCAGGCAAGCCGGACAGATCTCTCTTCTCGCAGTGGATCAGACACCTGTGAGATCAAAGACTGATATCGCGGGATTCACGGGATTCACGCTCGTGCACGTGTTGCTAATAACCTGGATGTAATTTAAGTTTTGTTGCTTTTATATGAAAATAAATATAATGAACAAGACACCCAAAGTACTTATTTAATTCCATTTTAAATAGGCCTACGTGTTTATCAATCATTTTTCTTTAATACAGACTAGGGATGTCAAATGATTAATCGTGATTAATCACATCCAAAATAAAAGGTTTTTTTACATAATATATGTGGGTGCACTGTGAATAATTATTTTATATATACGTATAAATACACACACATGCTTGTATATAAGAAATATTTTCATGTATATACTGTATATAGATTATATATAATTTATATTATATATAAATATAAATATTTTATATATAAATAATTTTTTTTTCTTAAATATACATGCATGTGTGTGTATTTATATATATACAAAATAATTATACACAGTGCACCCACATAGATTATGTAAAAAAAACTTTTATTTTGGATGTGATTAATCACGATTAATCATTTGACAGCTCTAATACAGACATGTGTTTTTATTTAAAAAAAACTAATACAAATTACATCACACTGTCAGAGAGTTTGGGAATATCCACACATAATTTATACACATCAAACATGATATCAGAGTTTTAAAATCAAACATTTTAAAAGAGAACAATACATCACGGTTGTTTAAACCAATGATCATTAATCTGTGTCGTCAGCAAGTCGTTTCCCATCATGCTTTAATTCAATAAATCTATGATCTATGTCATTTTATTATGTTGAATATTTGTTAACAAGGGATTTGTGCATGCATGGGATATTTTTGATACTTGAATACTTGAAAAGGCAGTATCCTCACAACTATGTTCCTTTCTTGAAAGAAATGATATCTGCGAGGATTTTCAGTCAGGATTTAGACCGTACCATAGCACTGAGACAGCTCTCATTAGAGTAACAAATGATTTGCTCTTATCATTCGATCGTGGCTGTATCTCTCTATTGGTGTTACTCGATCTTAGTGCTGCATTTGATACCATTGACCACAATATTCTTTTACATAGATTTGAAAATTATGTTGGCATTAGTGGAAATTAGTATGGTTCAAATCATACTTATCTGACCGTTATCAGTTTGTAGCAGTAAACGAAGAGATGTCTTATTGATCACAAGTTCAGTATGGTGCACCACAAGGCTCAGTACTAGGACCGTTACTGTTCACTCTGTACATGCTACCATTAAGAGATATCATTAGAAAACATGGCATTAGTTTTCACTGTTATGCTGATGATACTCAGCTGTATATTTCTTCGCGCCCCGACGAAACGCACCAATTCACAAAATTAATGGAATGCATAGCTGATATAAAAACTTGGATGACTAGTAATTTCCTATTACTTAACTCTGAAAAAACAGAGATTCTAATTATTGGCCAAAAAACTTCCACACGTAATAACCTAGAATACTGTCTAACACTTGATGGCTGCTCTGTTAAGTCTTCGTCGTCGGTTAGGAACCTGGGTGTGCTCTTTGATACCAATCTTTTTCATTTGAAAGTCACGTTTCTAGCATCTGTAAAACCGCATTCTTCCATCTTAAAAATATATCTAAAATACGACATATGCTTTCAATGAAAAATGCGGAACAGTTAGTTTATGCGTTCATGACATCAAGGCAAGATTATTGTAATGCTCTACTGGGTGGTTGCCCTGCACGCTTAATAAACAAACTACAGCTGGTCCAAAACGCAGCAGCTCGAGTTCTTACCAGAACCTGGAAGTATGACCATATTAGCCCGGTTCTGTCAACACTGCATTGGCTGCCTATTAAACATCGTATAAATTTGAAAATATTACTGTCTACTTACAAAGCACTAAATGGTTTAGCTCCGCAGTGCTTGAGCGAGCTCTTAACGCATTATAGTCCTTCACGTCTATTGCGATCTCAAAACTCCGGCCAGTTGATAATACCTAGAATATCAAAATCGACTGCTGGCGGTAGATCCTTTTCCTACTTAGCACCAAAACTTTGGAACAGTCTCCCTAACATTGTCCGGGAAGCCGACACACTCTGTCAGTTTAAATCTAGACTAAAAACACATCTCTTTGACCTGGCATTCACATAGAACATTATACATTTCTATTATTTAAAATCAGTTAAATGATTATTAGGCTGCATAGATTAGGTCAGCCGGAATCGGGGACAGAACCCAAAACACCCGATGTACTCGTTACATCTTAAGAAGAATGGCATCTACGCTAATGTCAGTCTTTCCATTTATTCCGAGGTTTACTGAAGTCAGCCGGATCCGGGCCGTATCCAGATCAGATGGTGAACCTGCGCCTGGACACGACCACAACGCATCCCTGAAGTGCCAGCCTCATCAGCCCTGTGAAGACCTCATGGACACCTCTACAAGCTCGTCTCCATACCGGCGTGATGACTCCGACCTCCAACCAGATGGAACTGGATAATATTGTGAATGTTCTGATCCAATTTGACTTTTGACCTGTAATGTTGCCTGAATCATAATCATACACTGTTCGTTCGTTGGCCAGAGGAGAACTGAGCGACTGAGTCTGGTTTCTCCCAAGGTTTTTTTCTCCGTTCTATCACCTGCTGGAGTTTTGGTTCCTTCTGTTGCCTTGGCTTTTGGCTTGGTTAGTTGGGGACATTTAATTATTCAACAATATTTTTGATCTACGTTACTTCATGTGGACGATTACGCAATTTTATTCTAGAAACAAACTTCTTGTAATTATTTTCATGTATTCACTGTGAAGCTGCTTTGATACAATCTGTATTGTGAAAAGCGCTATATATAAATAAAGATGACTTGACTTGACTTTTTGCTGAGATATTCCTTTTCAAACCCTTCCAAAAGGAGTAATAAAGGGAAGTAGGGAAAGGAAAACATTTGTAAAAAAATTTTATTTATTTGCAAATCTAATTTTATTAATTTTTGTGAAACACTTTGCATTTATTTGTGGATCTTAATTATTTATTTGTGAATTCAATTGTTTATGTGAATCTCTATTTATTTATTTATTTAGAATAATGCAAGATTTCTAACACATATTATGCGCTCTGACACGAGTCATTACGGTATTCTAGAGCTAGGCAGGACTATTGAACGTACTTGATTGGTTAAACACGCATCAGTAATGAATATTCATGAGTGTAGGGCTGACTCTGCTGTTGGCAGTTTCCACTAACCAATCCTGGCGCAGGGGGCGGGGCCAAAAACCCGTCACTGAATATTATTAATATTTTTCAAACTCACCATGGTAGTTTTGTACGTGCTTCTTTATTAGACAATTTTTCTTTGATGTTTAAGGATGTCTTATTATGATTTTTAAACCCTGACAAGAATCTAAAAGATTACTTGTGCACTTTCTTATAAATCGAATTATTTTTCTAGCCAAGTTTTTTGTACACAAGTGTACATTTTTGCCTGTTAAACCTCTTTTTGTTATTTTTCGCAAAGACCTGAAATGTTATTTGGGTACTATCTCTTCTTCCAGCAATGTCAAAGCTTTTAAGTTCTTTACGTTGTGCACAAAATATAATATTTATGCTTTTTTATACTGAAAAAAGCGACTCATGGCATTTCTCTCTCTCTCTCTCTCTCTCTCTCTCTCTCTCTCTCTCTCTCTCTCTCTCTCTCTCTCTCTCTCTCTCTCTCTCTCTCTCTCTCTCTCTCTCTCTCTCTCTCGATCTCGATATTCAGAAACCATGTTTTTTTTTCTCCCTTTTTTTCCTGTTCACTTTAGTGGCTTTTTGTCTACTGTTTATAATTGTATTATTGTTATTTAATTCAGTTTTGAGTATTGAGAATTTGCTGTTACATATGTTCAATGATAAAAAAATACAATAATAAAGCTCACCGTGGTAGTAGTATTGGCAAAGCCATTGCGCGCAGACACCAGTCGTTACGGTAACGCATGTGTGTCCGGAAGAGCGAGACTCGACGCACGGACACTGAGCTCGTCGGGTTTAGACGCGCGTCGGTTTGATGGGCGATGGGTCTGATCGCTCGCGTGCGGAAAGAATGGTTTATCATCGGTATAGTGTTGGTCATCACGTGCGCCAAGCTCGCGCCGTCCGTGGGAGTGAAAGGAGGTGAGAAACATCATCAAACACACACCTAGACACATTTCTATCCATGCCAACTTTAAAATCAGTTAATGCACACATAAATACTAATTATGCAATGATCGCTATTGGGAAATGACTCGTATGCATGAATATCACACAAATAGATGGTTGATTATTTGTGGATTGAGGTAAAATGGGAGTAATTATGATGAGGGATGTCACATGTATTGCATGTAAAGTTTTCAGTGTATAGATGGAGACTTTATGATCAATCTGATCTGAATATGATCATGCAGTGGGTTAATCAATCGGTTTGATGGTTGTTTTAACTCTAGCTGTCACTGTGACACGTTGACTTGCAACACCCGGATCTGAATAATCCTGTCCGGGTGGAGGATAGTTACTACTGTTGTTCCTGTTTAAACATGCGATGCGTGAGAACAATTTTGCCTGGACAAAGACTTGTTTAAAGTTTAAAACCCCATTGAAGTTTGAGGATAGATAGACAGATGGATGGATGGATGGATAGACAGACAGACAGATGGATGGATGGATGGATGGATGGATGGATAGACAGACGGATGGATGGATAGATAAGACTCGTAATAGCAACATTAGTCAGAACAGGCTTTACATATGTGTTTGATTTTAGTGGATAAAGTTTGAAAACACCACCGAATTATATCTAAAAATCATCAGTATGTCTGTTTTCAACTAACATGAATATCTGACATAGAAAAAAAAATCACAAAACATCAATCAATTTTGACGTAGAAGTTCACTGGACACAAATATTGTTGATATTGAAAACTGTTGATGCATTTTAACTATAACTCCCCTTATAAAACAGTACAGGAACTGCACCATGATGCATATAGTGATATTATGGTACTAAATGAATACCATGGTTATATTTATATGGTGCTGGAAGAAAACATAAATAATTCAATACTATAAAACCTGTCCAAATTACCATATTATAACCCTAGTGCCATTATCCTAGTGTCCCAAAACATGGTAATCTAATTTAACCATTATATATGATCATAATTCCTTATGCTGCTATTATTTCATTGAGTCTGTTCTCTTTCAGGTCCTCTTCGGCCAGAGATCACCATCACCTACGTTGCAGTATCTGTCATCTTCTTCAACAGTGGCTTGTCTTTGAAAACAGAGGTATGACCGGTACATGTTTTTGTTATGATTTTATATATTTTTTTAAACTAATTTCTATCTTGCTGTGTTTTTCAGGAGCTGGCGAGTGCGTTAATGCACGTAAAGTTGCATTTCTTCGTCCAGACTTTTACGCTAGTGTTTTTCCCCATCGCCGTCTGGCTGCTCCTGAAAGTGCTGGCCCTGACGGCGATCAACGAGTGGCTTCTCAGAGGGTGAGTGTGTGTGTGTTTGCAGATTTCTCCGTCTCGTACACACTCTACCTGTTCACTGCTGCACTGAATGAAGTCTCTGTGAGTTTGAGCCGAGGGAAACTGGATCTCAGAGGGCGTCTGTGTTAGCGCTTTAGCTTATTTTCCTGTAAGAGAGTCGCTGTGTTTCCCTGCAACCTCCACACGTCCTTTAGCAGACAGAAAAGACATTCATGTTTTCATTACGTTGAAGATTATGAGTTATTATTGTAGTACCATTAGCTGAAAAGTCCTGAAGTGACGTAGGATAGAGACAGTATGTGGAGGAGAGCGTTGCTCATTCAAAAACAGGGGAATAAATGTGATTTAAATTGTGTATTATTGTTTATTAACTCTCTCTAAATGCATTTGTTAGCATTATTAATTCAGCAACTGATAGCAAATATCCTTTTTGTGATCAGAGGGAAATTATTTTTCACTGTTTTGTCCATTGTGACAGACTTAAAAGCTTTTTTTTTATGCTTAATTTCATGTATGTGGATTTTAAAGTAATATTTTCAGAGGTTGTTTTCATTTTTGGTTTTCATTTTTGGAAAAAAAGAGAAAAAAAGGGCAACTTGTTAACTTTGTTATTGGAAAAGCGAAAATGGTTGTTTGTCTGACTAGAAAGGAAAAAACAGAAGGTGAAGTTGGCCGGGATGTAGTACAAGTTTTTAAGAGTTAAATAAAAGTAAGAATTACATTTAAAAAAAATATATTTTATAAAACTGAAGAATAAAGAGGAATTTGAAAATGTATGGAATTATAAAGAAATGTTGTGTTTTAAGGATGGTGAATTAATTGTTTCTAAATATCTTGAGTAAAGTGTGTTTATTATTTAAAAATATATTTTTTAAATCTCTCTCTCTCTCTCTCTCTCTCTCTCTCTCTCTCTCTCTCTCTCTCTCTCTCTCTCTCTCTCTCTCTCTCTCTCTCTCTCTCTCTCTCTCTCTCTCTCTCTCTCTCTCTCTCTCAGGTTGCAGACGGTTGCATGTATGCCTCCTCCTGTTTCCTCTGCCGTCATCCTCACTAAAACTGTAGGAGGAAATGAGGTAAAAATTAAAACAGTAAAAAAAAACCCATATACTTCATTTTAAAATCCCAAATTCCCATCACAACTTTAAAAACGCTTTCCATCACAACAATCACAACCTTACATATGTACATTATCAAAATACAAAAATATAAATATTTTTTAAATAAAAAAATAACCATGACTTATACAGATAACGAAATTTGGTGTGCTAAATAATAAACAAAAATCCCATTTTTCCCAACATTTCATCACAATGATCATATTCCTTTACAGCAGTCGCATCTTTACAAACGCACTAATTTTACAAATGCATTCCATCAAAATCACAACTTTACAAACACTCGTTTTTTTACTCACAACTTTACAAACACTAATTTTACAAACACACTCTATCAAAGCAATAACAACTTTACAAACACTCCATCAAAATCACAAATTTACAAACACTCGTTTTTTTCCTCACAACTTTACAAACACACTAATTTTACAAACACATTCTATCAAAGCAATCACAACTTTACAAACACACTCTATCAAAATCACAACTTTACAAACACACTCCATCAAAATCACAACTTTACAAACACACTAATTTTACAAACACATTCTATCAAATCAATCACAACTTTACAAACACACTCCATCAAAATCACAACTTTACAAACACAGTCCATCAAAATCACAACTTTACAAACACACTCCATCAGTGCAATTACAACTTTACAAACACACTCCATCAATGCAATAACAACTTTACAAACACACTCCATCAGTGCAATAACAACTTTACAAACACACTCCATCAGTGCAATAACAACTTTACAAACACACTCCATCAGTGCAATAACAACTTTACAAACACACTCCATCAGTGCAATAACAACTTTACAAACACACTCCATCAGTGCAATAACAACTTTACAAACACACTCCATCAGTGCAATAACAACTTTACAAACACACTCCATCAATGCAATTACAACTTTACAAACACACTCCATCAGTGCAATTACAACTTTACAAACACACTCCGTCAATGCAATTACAACTTTACAAATTACAACTTTACAAACACACTCCGTCAATGCAATTACAACTTTACAAACACACTCCGTCAATGCAATTACAACTTTACAAACACACTCCGTCAATGCAATTACAACTTTACAAATACACTCATTTTATAAACGCATACATTCACAACAATCATAATTTTACAAACACATTACATCAAAGCAATCACAACTTTAAACTCATTTTATAAACGCATTACATCAAAATCATAACTTTACACTCATTTTTTTACAGACACAAACCTGTCACAACTTTACAAACACATTAATTTAAAAACACATTTCATCAAAGCAAACACCACTTTACAAACACTCGTTTTACACACACATTCGCAATCCCTACTTTACAAAATACATTCCACCATAACGATAACTATATTACAAAAACAATCAATCGCAACTATCACAACTTTACATATGTATTTCATTCAAACTTTACAAGCAAGCACACCTTTTTTATCATGATGACGGTTATAACCACATTTATGTTATACAAATCATAACTTTTTACAACTGAATAATCACAACATTTGCTGTACATCGAAGTTAAACATCAAAATTAACATTCATTTATGTCTAATAATTAATACTGGTAAGTGTGATAATGTAAAAGTGCATATATTTGTTTTCTTTACAGGCTGCAGCCATTTTCAATTCTGCATTTGGGAGCTTTCTGGTAAGTGTGATAATGCAGAGAGAGAGAGAGAGAGGAGAAAAATAGACAAACAAAAGAACGAAGGAATAAAAGCAGAATGTGAAAGTGTGTGATTTGTCTGCAGGGGATTGTGGTCACTCCTCTTCTGCTGCTGGTGTTTGTGAGTAAATCTCCTCTTTAATGTGTGTTGTGTTCAGTGTGGATGTGCTGAACGATCAGCATGTTGTACTGGTGTAATATATACTGTAAATATACATATTCTGTATACTCTATTGATTGCCCAGTGTTTACAGGAGTTGTTTCTGATATATTGTGTGTATAATGTTTTTCACTGTGTGTGTGTGTGTGTGTAGCTGGGCTCCTCGTCTTCTGTCCCGTTCACCTCCATCTTCTCGCAGCTCTTCATGACGGTGGTCGTCCCGCTCATAGTTGGACAGGTGTGTGTGTGTGTGTGTGTGTGTGTGTGTGTGTGTGTGTGTGTGTGTGTGTGTGTGTGTGTGTGTGTGCTTTAGTTTAATTTCACATGTGAAAAGGCAAATAGCATCTGTAAGGGAAATGATTAGAAACGTTAATCTGAGTTTCTGTCTTAAATAATTAAACATCAGCAGTTATTAATAGGAAGCCGCCACTGTGATACCGAACATGTTTTGTACATTTACAGTCAAACCAACATTTATTCAGATTCCTTCAACATTTCTCACATTATCACAGTTTATTCACTGTAGTTTAGAAGATGTTAATAAAATATGAGTTATGAAATCAGTTTATATTTCACTGGTTTTGTCCGTCCTTCTCTTAGACTCTCACACACATGAATTATGTTGAATATCTGTCAGCTGTTAAATTTAACTACACAATTAGATAATACAGGTTTAGCTCAAACTATTACCAAGCAATGCTTCATATTGTTCAGTCTGTGTGTAAAAAGAGCATTAGCAATTACAGAAAAAACACTGAAGCAAAACATGATCAGGTCAAAGTGTCTAAACAATTATTGGTCCCAAATTTGTATAAATGTTACTGGTAGTCACTGTATGAAGAAGTTTTGGGTATAATATGTCACAGTTTACTTTATTTGCTCTCCTCACTTACATCAATGAACTATAGTGTCCTGCATTAGCTAGTAAGATGATATTTGGTAGGGCTGGGTTTCGATTCAGATGTTCCAATTCGATTTCGATTCAATGAATAATATTTAATACAAATCCTATATTTATAAAAAAGAACAGTGAACATAAGTTTACAAGTGGTTATTTAATAAAAAGAAATGAAGAGCCACAAACCTGTATATTAAACTCTTTTTATTTTAGGTATTAAAACAGAACCCAACTCTGTATTTAAAATGCATGCGATGAATAGACAGGATTTTGATGCGAGATGAAAAATTGGACGAGTCAGAAGAGTCGCACGCCTTGATCACACAGGATCAGGTTATTTTATGTTTAATATTAAAACACACATAAAATCTCACAGCATTCGCTGTAACATGCAAGCCTATGAACAGTGGAGGAACAGTAATACTGGCTTTTGAGTGATAGATAAAAAATAAATATGGAAAAAAAATCGATTAATGGCCTTTGAGAATCGACCACATTTTTTTCATTTCTTGTGTTCATTTAATGTTCTTTTGTTGTGAAGCACTTTGGTCAGTCTGCGACTCTTTTAAATGTGCTATATAAATAAAGTAAACTTGAAACGATTAATCGAAAATAAAAAGTGCCCAGCCCTAATATCTGGTGTGTGGATACCTGTTGTGTGACTGCAGGTGTGCAGGAGGTTCCTGAGAGAGTGCCTGGACCGCCGGAAGCCTCCGTTCGGGACGGTGAGCAGTGTCGTCCTCCTCATGATCATCTACACCACCTTCTGCGACACCTTCTCCAACCCCAACATCGAGCTGGACCACCTGAGCCTGCTGCTCGTCGTCTTCATCAGTGAGTGCATGGGCGTCCGAACCAGTGTATACTTTTTAAAGGGGTGGTTGATTATGATTTCACTTTTCTAGCTTTAGTTAGTGTGTATGTTGCTGTTTGAGCATAAACAACATCTGCAAAGTTACAACGCTCAAAGTTCAGAGCAAAGGGAGATATTTGCTTTTAAAGAAATCCTTTTTTAAGGACTACAACAAACGGCTGGTAGAACTACACGAGCTTCCTCCCGGGTTAGTGACATCACTAACCCTAAATTAACATAAACCCCGCCCCCGGGACATGCAGTCCATGTTGAGAAGAGGAAGAGCTGTTGTAGTCACTCTGTGTGCATCTCACAACAGTTCCAATACAAGCGATTTATAGATTATCCTGACAGAATATGCTAATTGAAGATAGTTAACTCCACATCAGCAACATAAATTCATCAACTAACCATTCAGGGGGTGGGGGGGGGGAGCATCGAAAATACATTTTGGTCCAAAAATAACAAAAACTAGGACTTTATTCAGCATTGTATTGTCTTCCGGTTCTGTTGTGGATCCGCGTTCAGTGCCGCCGCTGACGTAAGACGCTGCTGACGTGTGTCTGGTGTGTGTGTGTGTGTGTGTGTATTCTGGTTCTGTTGTGGATCCGCGTTCAGTGCCGCTGCTGACGTAAGACGCTGCTGACGTGTGTCTGGTGTGTGTGTGTGTGTGTGTGTATTCTGGTTCTGTTGTGGATCCGCGTTCAGTGCCGCCGCTGATGTAAGACGCTGCTGATGTGTGTCTGGTGTGTGTGTGTGTGTGTGTGTGTGTGTATTCTGGTTCTGTTGTGGATCCGCGTTCAGTGCCGCTGCTGACGTAAGACGCTGCTGACGTGTGTCTGGGGTGTGTGTGTGTGTGTGTGTGTGTATTCTGGTTCTGTTGTGGATCCGTGTTCAGTGACGCTGCTGACGTGTGTCTGGTGTGTGTGTGTGTGTGTGTGTATTCTGGTTCTGTTGTGGATCCGCGTTCAGTGCCGCTGCTGACGTAAGACGCTGCTGACGTGTGTCTGGTGTGTGTGTGTGTGTGTATTCTGGTTCTGTTGTGGATCCGCGTTCAGTGCCGCCGCTGATGTAAGACGCTGCTGACGTGTGTCTGGTGTGTGTGTGTGTGTGTGTGTGTGTGTGTGTGTGTCTTCCGGTTCTGTTGTGGATCCGCGTTCAGTGCCGCTGCTGACGTAAGACGCTGCTGACGTGTGTCTGGTGTGTGTGTGTGTGTGTGTGTGTATTCTGGTTCTGTTGTGGATCCGCGTTCAGTGCCGCTGCTGACGTAAGACGCTGCTGACGTGTGTCTGGGGTGTGTGTGTGTGTGTGTGTGTGTATTCTGGTTCTGTTGTGGATCCGTGTTCAGTGACGCTGCTGACGTGTGTCTGGTGTGTGTGTGTGTGTGTGTGTATTCTGGTTCTGTTGTGGATCCGCGTTCAGTGCCGCCGCTGATGTAAGACGCTGCTGATGTGTGTCTGGTGTGTGTGTGTGTGTGTGTGTATTCTGGTTCTGTTGTGGATCCGCGTTCAGTGACGCCGCTGACGTAAGACGCTGCTGACGTGTGTCTGGGGTGTGTGTGTGTGTGTGTGTGTGTTCTGGTTCTGATGTGGATCCGCGTTCAGTGCCGCCGCTGACGTAAGACGCTGCTGACGTGTGTCTGGGGTGTGTGTGTGTGTGTGTGTTCTGGTTCTGATGTGGATCCGCGTTCAGTGCCGCCGCTGACGTAAGACGCTGCTGACGTGTGTCTGGGGTGTGTGTGTGTGTGTGTCTTCCGGTTCTGTTGTGGATCCGCGTTCAGTGCCGCCGCTGACGTAAGACGCTGCTGACGTGTGTCTGGTGTGTGTGTGTGTGTGTGTGTGTGTGTGTGTGTTCCGGTTCTGTTGTGGATCCGCGTTCAGTGCCGCTGCTGACGTAAGACGCTGCTGACGTGTGTGTGTGTGTGTGTGTGTGTGTGTGTATTCTGGTTCTGTTGTGGATCCGCGTTCAGTGCCGCCGCTGACGTAAGACGCTGCTGACGTGTGTCTGGTGTGTGTGTGTGTGTGTGTGTGTGTGTGTGTGTGTGTTCTGGTTCTGTTGTGGATCCGCGTTCAGTGCCGCCGCTGCCGTAAGACGCTGCTGACGTGTGTCTGGTGTGTGTGTGTGTGTGTGTGTGTGTGTGTGTCTGGTGCGCCCGAGCTTCGTTTACAGTCTGAGGGAGACGCACGCTGGAAACAAAACAATCTTCGCAAACATGTCTAAGGATTTCCACACAGAGGAAGACTTGCATTTTTTTGCCCAGCCATATTTATTTGAACCCGAATACACACACACACACACACACCACACACACACGCACCAGACACACGTCAGCAGCGTCTTACGTCAGCGGCGGCACTGAACGCGGATCCACAACAGAACCGGAATACACACACACACACACACCAGACACACGTCAGCAGCGTCTTACGTCAGCGGCGGCACTGAACGCGGATCCACAACAGAACCAGAATACACACACACACACACACACACACCAGACACACGTCAGCAGCGTCTTACGTCAGCGGCGGCACTGAACGCGGATCCACAACAGAACCAGAATACACACACACACACACACACACACACACCAGACACACGTCAGCAGCGTCACTGAACACGGATCCACAACAGAACCAGAATACACACACACACACACACACACCAGACACACGTCAGCAGCGTCTTACGTCAGCGGCGGCACTGAACGCGGATCCACAACAGAACCGGAAGACAATACAATGCTGAATAAAGTCCTAGTTTTTGTTATTTTTGGACCAAAATGTATTTTTGATGCTTCAAAACACTCTAACTAACCCACTGATGTCACATGGACTACTTTGATGATGTCTTTATTTCCTTTCTGGACAAGGACAGTATACCGTACATACATTTTCAATCTCTCGGACTAAATCTAAAATATCTTAAACTGTGTTCAGAAGATGGTCTTCTGGTCTTACGGGCTTGGAACGACATGAGGGAGAGGCATTAATGACAATTTTCATTTTTGGGTGAACTAACCCTTTAAGTGTCTGGGCAAAATTGGGAATATTGCACAAAAACTTGTTTTTCCATCCAATGTGTTCAAGAGAACAAAATCATCATTGTTCTTTTTTTTCCCTGTTTTTCAGTATTTTCCATTCAGTTGAGCTTCATGGCCCTGATATTTTTCCTGTCTACAAGGTAAGAGACACTCAGTTTTCTGTCATGGTGCTATTGGTTTAAAGTTGAGCCAAACAATTGTGCAGTTTTAGATTAAGACATAATCCTGATCCACTTACTATTGGATCTGTGACGGATATCATAGTGTTTATATGCATCTTATTTTGTGACGTTTGTAGGAAATCCTCAGGATTCACTGCAGCGGATTCAGTCGCCATCATGTTTTGTGCGACTCATAAATCCCTCACTTTAGGTAAAACACAAGCTTCTGTCTGGACAAGGCAAATATTAATCATCATTACTTACCTTCTGTAATTGAAAACACTGGTTTAATGTGTGTGTGTGTGTAGGTATCCCCATGCTGAAGATCGTGTTCGAGGGTTATGAGCATCTGTCTCTGATATCAGTGCCTCTGTTGATCTATCATCCGGCTCAGATCCTGCTGGGCAGCATCCTTCTACCCTCCATTAAAACATGGATGAGCGGGAGACAGAAGGTAACACACACACACACACACACTAGAGGTCTGCTACCCGACCCCTCACGGGTTTCGGGTCGGGTTCGGGTTAAAGGTGCATTGCGCAAGTCTCTGAGTTTTTGCAGAACTATGCCCCCTCTGGCGACAAGCGAAACTGCAACCAGAGGTGTGCACGCTCATGGACCACACGCACGTATCAGACATTATAGGCCATGAGACGGGACCCCAAATTTGGGCTACCGGTACCATTTTGAGGGATTAAATTTATTTTTGATTTTCATGAAGGTACACATCTCTAGTGTTGGAAAATGTGTGATAGCATCCGATCCATGGTAGCTTTCATTAGAAATCAACACTTATATCATCCTACCTCAAGGTAAGGTGTTCAGTGACTACAAGAGAGAAAAATGTATCCTTTTATAATTTAAAAAAATTATTTAATTAAAAAAAAAAATTTATTATAAAAATTTATTATTTTTTTAATAACATTTTATAAAAACTTTATAAAATTTTAAAATTTATTTAAAGATAAATTCATTTATCCTTTTTCTTGACATATGTTTGAAAATCGTCCTCCATAACCAAAAACTACCTTGAATCTAATGCTATCACACATTTTTCAAATACCTACACAAAAATCACCATGCGGTTTAATCCCTCAAAATGGTACCAATCAACCCTCTGTCTCACGGCCTATTAGAGACTGGGCTATATCTTACCGTTTTATCAAGAAAAGAGCCAACTGAGGATCCCGTTTGAGACCAAGAGCAGACCGGAGATCTCTCCATTTGTTGAAAGCCTTCCCGATGTTGACTCTCGTCTTATTCCGACGCCTGTCTGACTCCAATTTGGCCCTTTTGGTGGCACTAGACAAACGTTTTGTTTTCTTTGTCTTACGTGGAGTTTGCGTTGGAGTTTGGAATGAACTACAAGCCGGTCTCTTAGAATCCATCTTCTACTTTTGTCGAAAGTTGACTAAAGTTTTGACGCTCTAGTTGTTTTCGCTGATACGGAGAATGGCGGCGAATACACAAACCTGCCAGACATAGCCAGGGGAGCGTGAACGCGCATGACGTCACGCCCAGTCTCAAACTCTGTCCCGAATCCCTCTTATTTATTTTACTGTACAGGATTATAGAGGCAATCGCAGTGATCAGAGAAGGGCTCATTCAGCCCATCAGGCAATTGTTTAAGCATGTATGGGTTAGAAAAACAGGTATTTTTAACATGAAATGTTGCGCAATGCACCTTTAATGTTTCATAAATAGCCTCGGGTTGGGTTCAGGTTTGTAACTTAATAAAACTATATAGGCTACACATATATATAGTGTGCGTGCCGTGTGCTCGGCTGCTTGCTGTGCTGTGATCGTAATTATATGAGCACGCGAGAGAGAGAAAGTAGTTGTGCGCAGTTTCAGCCGTCCTCTTCTCATTGCGGTTTTGTGACCGAAGTCAAAACAGTTTTGTAAAATGATATATAAATCATTTTTATTTTATCATATATCATTTTACAACATTTGCTCCCACTCGCGCTATTTCAGTCACAACACCGCAATCAGAGGACGGCGCTAAAACCATCGACTGTCGATGCTGTTCTCTTCCTTCATAACTCGCACTGAGAGGATAGGCTATATTTATGTAAATAGTTGTGCAACTGCGCTAACTTTGTTTTGAAGTTTAATGTTTGAGTTCCAGGGGAATTTGTGACCGTTTCACCTGTTCAACCACATCAAAGTTTCGTAATTAGTAAGTCCGTGCTGACTGATGAGGGGCCGCTGTGACTTGGTGAAACGGTGTTTGTACATGTAGCCTATTTGTTTAATTCTCGTGGCGAGCAATCATAAAATACAGCATACTGAAAAAAAAAAAAAAACTATTTACTGTGAGAAACGGACCTCGGGTTCGGGTCGAGCGCGGGGTTAAAATATAACCATAATGTTCGGGTCGGGTCAAATGATTTCGGGTACGGGCCGGGTTCGGATTTAAGTTTAAAGCCCGTGCAGACCTCTAATACACACACACTTGACCAAAACCTATGCATATACCTATATATAAACAATAATAAAGGTAATTGTGAGAAAGTTTTACTTTCTGTGAGATTTAAAATTGCAGTCTGTAACTTTTTATATATATGTATAATGAAGTACATCATAAATCCATTTTCCAAACCGTGTTTTTGTCTTATCCTGAATCACTATGGTACACCTATAATAAGTGTTTATATTGGGACTATTTTAGACTGGTTGGGGTCGTACTGCGGCGGAGGAGCACAGTACCGGCGTAACTCGTCATAGATATAAACACAGAGAAGGAGCTCCGGCTACAATATTCTTCCACAAGACGCATGCAGTTCTGTTTATTAAGCGCCAAAATATACGGACTACAGCTTTAAAGTTGGAATTTTAAAATATTTTTTTTTAGATTTTTTTCTGCTTTAATTTACTATAGAGTCTTCACAGACCTCAACCATAAACAAAAGTTTTTATTTATATACATATAGGAATTTCATTTTTTTAATTTATGCATTTTTTTAAAGAGCCATTTTTTGTGGATCTTTTTATTTTGTACTAATTTAATTCATGCTTACAGGTCTGGTGTGCATATCAGATATACATTTTATAACTTCTCCTGTATTCAATCTGTTTCATAAGATGTTGAAAAATCAGATATTATTACAATTTGGGTTTTGTTTTAACCTCTTGATTTGCTTCCTTCACAGACTCTCTCGCCCATATGAACTGCACTGTCGACTGGAAGCTGTGAAACACTTGGCTGAGCCAAACCAAACCTAACCAAATCAGACCAGACCAGAAACAACGAGACCAAACCAGGCCGAGACGCCGTTTTACTCGCCGGGCGTTCAGTATACGTGAGATCAAGTGCCTTAACTCGACCTGCGGGACCTCAGACGCCAGGGACTGAAAACCATTCCATGAGCTTTTTTAAACAGATACCTGAATGTATATTTTTATTTTTATATGAAGTGTGAAATCTTTTCTTACTCCAACAGCACTCAGACTTTGTCAGATGGGTTTGTTTGTGTTATTTCGACTTCCAGGGTATATTTGTGTGGCTTCATTGGGCTTATTTTTGCAGCAGTAAAACTGTCAATGCCCTGCTAACTTTCTTACATGTACTTGAAGACGAGAGTATTACTGAACCGGTGGTCGTTTGTTCTGGTGCAGTAAACGCTAAGATCAGCTGTTCAACTGTGCCATGTTATGTTACTGAAGACAATAAACAGTCATTAACTCTGTCTAAATGAGGTTTTGTGTGTAAACTCTTTCTAATCACGTGTTTTGTAGTACATCATGCAAAAAAAATTACAACTTTGATACCAAATACACCATACGCTCTTCAAAATAAATTTATTTATTCAACTTATTAAAACATTTCTTTATTCAAATCGAATACAGTTTATAATTATCTAACATTTTTTTTTAGTCTAATGGGTGAGAACATTAAAACTAAATAATTCAACAGTGATTTACCTTTTCAAAAGGCGCTATTGTGTTCAAACTTTTCTACTGTATCTTAGTCTATTTATGCTTAATGTAGCTTTTAAACTAGTATTTTCAATCTGAAATGCATCATTTATGGTTATTAAACAACATATTTTATCTTCACTAAAGGCAAAAGCACTTTCTGCTTTTTTGTCTTGCAGTCAGTAAGGAGGTTTAATACAGTAGCTGTGTTTGGAAAGGATTACTTGGATAGTTTTGTTTTTTTAGTAGTATACACTTGCAAGTTTTTATGCTGTTTTTAAGAAACTGAAACTTTTATTCAGCAAGGCTGCGTTAAATTGATCAAAAGTGACAGGAAAGACAGTAAAAGCAGCAAATCCGCATATTTGAATGATTTCTAAAGTAATGATGTTGTAAAGTAATGTACTGAAAATTATCAGTAATGATGCTGAAAATTTATATCACAGGAATAAATTAGTTTTAAATGTATTACAATAGTTATTAGTTATTAGGGGCCAAGCACCTATTGTAATCGTTAGTGTTTTCTTCTTCCGCTCTTGAGTCTATGGCCTCCTATAGAACCACTTATGGCAAAGTTATGAAATTTGGCACAAAGATAGAGGACAGTCTGAACTTCAACCATAGCAAATTTGGAGTCTCTGACTCAATCGCTTTAGCGCCACCAACTGTCCAAAATTTTCACTTACTTTTATGTTAAAAACGTTTGAACCGTAAGGGCTAGAAACAAATTTGTTTTTGCACTGATTCTAATGCATGACATCATTAACATTTTTACGCCATTTTGAGTTTTCGAACTCCTCCTTGGTCATCACTCCGATTTTCACAAAAATGTAACCAGATCATCTTCTAACGTAAGACAATATCTCTAATATATTTAGCATATTTTGACCAAAATTGGTGTGTGTTATGACAACCATGACTTGAAGGTACCTGCACAGTTTCAGCACAGTGTCACCTAGTGGTCAGGAGATATTAAAAATTAACCTTTTTGCTTATAACTTATGAGTAGTTTGGCCAAAACTGGTCTCTTTAGATTCAGTTCAGCATGCCGAGTCGAATGATATCCAATTGTCGTTTTTGGGGACTTGACCATTTTGAATTTTGACGTAAAATGCTATATTTTACGAAGGTATTGGCGTATCATCACGAAACTCAGTAGCCTATGTGTCTTCAGCACCATGCCCTTACTTAAAGTACTCAAAAAGTTGAAACAGAGCCACCTTGTGGTCAGAAGTTAATGAAATTTCCAAAAATGTGAATAACTTTTGAATAAATTAGCCTGTTTTAATGAAACTGGTCTTACTTGGGTCATGCCGAGAACATAGATAACAATTTTGCCATAGTCGGCTCAACTTCCTGTCCGCCATTTTGATCTTCTTTCAAAAACTTTTTCGAACTCCTCCTAGACCGTTGGTCCGATTATCACCAAAATTGTATCCTATCATCTTCAGACCATGCTGGCAAACCCTTATGGATTACGCGTCGTTAGACAAAACCGTTTTCGTATACCACATCTCACTCTGACCACACCACATCAATTTGGTCACACCTCCACCAGTTGGTCGAAAGAGGTTCTTCCGGTCATGCCTATGTGGGGTAAGGCAGCGCTATTTTATCATATTAGATGCATTTGAGTGTGTTGAAAGTTGTTTTAATGCCACTCTGTGTGTTAGTTCGGCGGCTACTATATATGAGACACTTGTTGCACACTGCAGTGAGCTAGATCGATATTAGGCATGGTAAATATGGTACTCGCGGTAAATCAAGAAAACGAGATTTAAACAAAAAGACCAACTGTGTTGAGCTCTATAACAATGATTAGTTTTCTGTCGATTAATGTATCCAAACATTTGCTCACTTGTCTAATAAAAAAACATGATATCATTGATAAGCGACGCACGGACATGGTCCGTGTCCTGGTTAAAACTACTTATTTCTCTGGATTTAACCATTCTTAGAAACATTTGGGATAATGTACGTACACAAATCAACAAAATATATAACATTGTTCTAGTGGTTTTTGGATATTTTGATCCAAAAATCTAACATAGTGTGTCTTTAATTGCTCATCGTGCCTTTGTGCTTGGGCCCTTTATCGTTGCCTGCAGCTATATTTTTTAATTCTAATAACATTTCGCAATATTACCGTTTTTATTTTAGTTTATTTTGATCAAAGAAGTGCAGCCTTGTTGGGAATAAGAGACAGTATTTAGTAGCCTATGCCTGTTCAGTTTCCGGACGGTGTTATGAGGTTGTACTCGGCCTGGAGCACGAGGAAGCTGTTTTGGCGTATTTTGCGCACCTGCACCAGGTCTCCACACTCCTGAACGTGGATGATGCCTCGGTCTTCATGGTTACAGTCGTTGAGCGACACGGCGGTTCGCTTGCGGCAGTGTTTTCTCTGAAGGTACCGGAGACCCACGGCCACGGCCATTCCCAGTGCGCCTGACAGGCCCAGTAACAGGCCCAGTTCGGATGTGCTCTTCCCGGGAATGTGCTCCGGTGTCTCATTCCCTCTCTCCGGGACTCCAGGCGTGTTTTTAGTGTGTTTGGGGGGTTTGAGAACATCTCTAAACAGATCTGAAGTGTCTTTCTTGCGAGGGGTCAGAGAGACGGCGCCCTCTGTTGGCTCCCAGGATGGGAAAAAATTGGAGAGGGATCGACGGAGAGCTTCGGGATGAAGTGATGCTGTGAAGATCTGTGTGTTGTGAGTGTGTACGGAAGGCGTATATGTGTGTGTTTGTTGTATGGATGCCTGTGTATCTGGGGTGTGGGTCTGTGATAGTATATTCGGGACAGTGTGTGTTTGTTGCATGGATGCATGTGTATCTGTGCTGTGGGTCTGTGATAGTATATTCGGGACAGTGTGTGTTTGTTGTATGGATGCATGTGTATCTGCGCTGTGGGTCTGTGGTAGTATATTCGGGACAGTGTGTGTTTGTTGTATGGATGCATGTGTATCTGCGCTGTGGGTCTGTGATAGTATATTCGGGACAGTGTGTGTTTGTTGCATGGATGCATGTGTATCTGCGCTGTGGGTCTGTGATAGTATATTCGGGACAGTGTGTGTTTGTTGCATGGATGCATGTGTATCTGCACTGTGGGTCTGTGATAGTATATTCGGGACAGTGTGTGTTTGTTGCATGGATGCATGTGTATCTGGGGTGTGGGTCTGTGATAGTATATTCGGGACAGTGTGTGTTTGTTGCATGGATGCATGTGTATCTGGGGTGTGGGTCTGTGATAGTAGATTCGGGACAGTGTGTGTTTGTTGTATGGATGCATGTGTATCTGCACTGTGGGTCTGTGATAGTATATTTGGGACAGTGTGTGTTTGTGTAGTTTTGTGTGTGTTTGTGTCTATTTTAGCGTTTGTAGAGCTGTGAGATGTAGATGTTCTTGGGAAAGTTCGTGTAGATGTGTGTTTATACGAGGATAGAGATGTTTGAGTGATGTTTAGTGATTGTGTGTTTGTGTGTGTATTAACAGAAGGGGTTGTGTGTGTGCTATATGTTGAGATTGTGTTGGTGTTTGTGTTATATGGTGCATATGTGTTAGTGTGTGTAGATGTGTGTCTAAACGAGAATAGAGATGTTTGAGTGTCGTTTACTAATTGTGTGTTTGTGTGAGTATTAACAGAAGGGGTTGTGTGTGAGAGTGTGTTGGTAGATGTGGTTGTGTATTTAGACAGGGATGTGTGTTTGCCTGTTTGTTCCGGTATTGAGCCTGCACAAAAAATAAACACATAATGCATTAAAAATAAAATGCATTTCATTATTAAGGTATTCTGTTTGGTTATTCTGTGTGGTTATAGTAATTTCTTACTAGCCACCCTAAAGTCCACTAATTATTCACAAGGATGTGTGTGCATATACACTCACCTAAAGGATTATTAGGAACACCTGTTCAATTTTTCATTAATGCAATTATCTAATCAACCAATCACATGGCAGTTGCTTCAATGCATTTAGGGGTGTGGTCCTGGTCAAGACAATCTCCTGAACTCCAAACTGAATGTCAGAATGGGAAAGAAAGGTGATTTAAGCAATTTTGAGCGTGGCATGGTTGTTGGTGCCAGACGGGCCGGTCTGAGTATTTCACAATCTGCTCAGTTACTGGGATTTTCACGCAAAACCATTTCTAGGGTTTACAA